AGGTATTGCCTGTTTTGTTGTTTTCAGTTTGTGTTTTCCCTCATGATAAACAACACTGAAGTGATCTGTTTCCTTGCAAACCATGAAAATGTCTCCCCAGATTCCTAGAGGTACAAGGCCCGGGTCCAAAGACACGTGATTTTAACAGTTTAGTAGACTCTGCTGAGTTGGCCTTATAACTGGCAAAACTGTACACTCCCACCTGCTTGCCTACTTCTCCATACTCTGGGTGACACTCGATGTGCCCTATTAAATGAAAAGAGCATCATTTTGTTTATCCCCATCTTTTTCCATGACCTCAGGTTTCTATACTCATCCCCAATAAAGTGTCTGAATCACTCAGATGGAGAACTCTTGGGCCTGCAGCCTCTGAAGAATGTGATGCTCCCTGTGTGTCATCATTTCAGATCTGTCTCTTACGGGGATACGGCAAGGCTGTGAATTTGGCTGTTTGATAAAACCCTGTTCCTGCAGGAATAAGTTGGGGGGCTTTGTTCAACCTTGGGGTCTTTATTTCTTTGACTAGATCTTCAGAACAGCATCTCCAGAGGTCTGCACTTTCTGAGCAATTTTGGTTGGGGTGTTTCAGTGGGAAGTGGGAGCTTAGTGGGGAGACCTGACCTTGGTCCATTTATCATCTGGAGGGTGAAGGAATTTTTCATTATATATCTTCTCTGATGCTTGAGAAAGCACTATGGTAGGCGTGTCGAGGAGAAGTCACCATGCCCCTGTCCCTGCAGCCATGTGGGGCCCTGGCTGACCCACCTTTCTTTCAGCCAGGGATTCAGTCTCCCAAGAAACCGCCTAGGATCAGGCAGGTGGCTTGGTCAGCCTGGCAGAGAATGGCTCTATCTTTAGAGGCAGATTACCATTAGCCAAACTAGCAAGACTGATATATAAAACCAGCAGGCTGATTCATTCAACTTACAGGGAAAACTCTGGCAAAGCCAGCACCGGACATGCATGGGTGGTTTGAAGCTGGTGAGAGGGGGCCAGTGTCTACCCCCGGCACTGGGATCTGAAGCTGGAGGAGCTGAGTGGCTCAGTGGTGCTGGGCTTGTGCCTGTTTCACAGCGGGGATGCTCTCAGCCCTGGGGAGGAGGCCAAACGCCCTGCCAGGTCCTCCACTGATGTGGCCGGCTTCCCCTGGGTCTCTTCCCTTCTGCTTCTTTCCCATCTCCCGTCTGATGGGCCTGCTCTGTTCCTTCTCACATTGCTGAGTCTGCTCCCGCAGGGTTCTGGCGTGGGAGCTTCTGCTCCTCAAGGTGAGTCCAACCTCTTTGCTTTGTTCATTAGAGACCATGCAGACCCCATGGGGTGGCCCTCTAGGGACTTAGTCTTTCTAGTTCCCTAGAACGATCCCTAACAGATTATCGTTCAGCCTCCAGCTAGTTTGGCTTCCCAATTGAGAAGGTCTTTTTGTTGAAGAGCTGAAGTGCTTCTTCCTGTGACTTCCAGGCTCTTCCTTCTGGCGACAGCTTCGATATGCACGCCGCACATGGCCCCACGGTCAGCCTGGGAGCTGCAGGCTGCTTGTCAAGTGGGAGGGAGGCTGTCTCCGGGACCATGACTCAGTCCTGGGGGCTGGGAGTTGCAGTGAGGAGTGAGTGTGAACAATGAAACACAGGGCTCCACTGAAACGCCGTTGCACACGTACTGATTGTTCGCCAACAGATTTCCTTTCCTAGGATGATGCCGTGGTGATTTAAAGTCTCGCTCGCAGTGCTGTTTGAAAGTAATCATGACCATTGATAGCACATTCATGGACCCTCTAATGTGTCAGAGAGCTGGCAGCCCAGGAACCGCGGGGACAGGACAGGGTGGGTTGGCACGCGGAGGTTCATCTTGTGGGAGGTGCTCCAGGTGCTTCCGGCCCAGTCCTGGCTGAGGCTGGGGGAGGGGGCAGGGGTGGCAGTCCAGTGAGCCCAGGTGACGGGGATTAGCCTGGAGAAGCTGACTGTGAGTTGGGACTTCTCAAATGTGCTCAGATGTCTACCTTCGACGATTAAATGCCCATTTTAATTTCTTCTTTGATATTCTGCTGTGGCCATGTCAGTAGACAAAGGATGTTGCGGTCATAAAGCCATTCAGGATGGACAAAAGCAGGAGACTGGCCTTAGATAGTTAAGATGCAGAGCCAAGGAACAATGTCAACACACCCAGACTTACATCTTCCCACACATAGAAAAGCACTGAAATCTTCAACTTGACATGTTTGTTTTTGTGATTAGCAGTAATCTTTTGATATTCAACTACATTTTTTTGTTTGTTTGTTTTTTTCCAGCAAAAACTCCTGTATATCCTGGCTTCTCTCTTACCTCTTTGGAACAGTCCCTCAGAGCGATCTGAGAGGCTGGTTCCCAGGCCATAGTTCTCAGTAA